AAAAAGAGCAACCAGGCTGCTTTTGGACACCCTGAACAGTCATACTTGTTCGTAACCTCTTCGCATCGCTCCACCTTGAGGCAGAAGCATAAATATTGGACAATAGAACATGTGCCCCACCCTTTCCCGTTCTGATTCTTCAATTTTGTTAGCAACAAATTCTGCCATTTCTAAATTCCCATGGCTTCTACAAGCAAAAAGCAGGGACATCCACATTCTAACGTCAGGTTCAATGGGCAGTGACCTTATAAACTTCTCAGCCTCAACCAAAAGGTTCGCACGACCAAGGAGATCAACCATACACCCATAGTGTTCAATGTGAGGGGTAAGATTATAGTGTTTCGCCATTGCTTCCAAATAGTAAAATCCCTCATCCACCAATCCTCCATGACTGCAGGCAGATAGGACCCCGAGAAAGGTGACTTCATTTGGCATAACATTGCCAGAGGTTTCCATTTGTGAAAACAATTGTAATGCTTTGTCAGACTGCCCATTCATAGCAAGCCCAGAAATCATCACACTCCACGCATAAACATCTCTACTCATCAACCCATGAAAAATTTCGAGAGCCTTTTCAATATCCCCACATTTAGAATACATGTCAATCAAAGCACTTTTTACTGTAAGGTTCAGCTCGATGCCATTCCTTTCACTATAGCCATGCACCCACCTACCATGATCCAATGCTCCCAAATGCCCACATGCAGTAACAACGCAAGCAACCGTAGCAGGATCTGCTTGAACCCCAACAACTTGCATGTCCCTAAACAACTCTATTGCTTCCTTAAATAAATTCGACTGCACATAACCAGCTATCAGTGAAGTCCAACAATAAATATTTCTATCGGCAATTCTATCAAACACCTCTTGAGCATTCTCTAATCGCCCACATTTAGTGTACATATCAATCAAAGAGGAACCCAAAAACACATCTACAAAAGCACTAACCACACTTAACCCATGCATTTTTCTTCCCAAATCAAGCAATCCAATCCTTGCACACGCCGTTAGAGCACTCACCAAAGTCACCTCATCAGGGCTCACATTGATATCACCCAACAATTCCCCAAACAGCTTCAATGCTTTTTCGCAAGAATCATTGTGTAAATACCCAGAAATCATACTATTCCAAGTTACCACATCCCGAACCCAACCTGGAACCAAATCAAAAACTTTTCTTGCAAACTCATTAACTCTACATTGAAAATACATTGAAATTAGCGCATTCTGCACGAAGACATCGAATTCAAGCCCCAATTTCACACTCAAACAATGAATTTCTTGGCCTTTCACCAGACAAAATAGTCGCCCACTAGCTTTGAGGACAAAAGGGAAAGTATAATCACCCGGGACAATGTTTTTTCGCCGCATCAGATTGTATATACCGATTGCTTCTTCTGGAACCGAGCTACGAGAGTAGGCTCGCAGGATAAAACCCCAGGCAAATGTATTGGGGTTTTGGATTTGGAAGAAGAGTGTGTGAGAGAAGGCGAGAGTAATATTGGAACTAGAAAGAGAGTGGTGGAGGAGTTTGCTGGACACAGAGGGGTCTGTGAAGAGGCCTGAAGTGATGGCATGAGAAAGGATTTGTTTGAAATGGTTGGGGTGTCCGTTGGTTTCCAAGAGAGAGAGTGAAAAGCTGTGGTAGCCGGTGGGGAAGAGAGAGCTAGGGATTGGGAGGAGAAAGATTAGGGTTTTGGGTTTAGAGGGTCTAAGAATGGAGGGTAGGTGCTGCATTGGATTTGGGTGTTATCGTTACCAACATTTAACAGTGGTGAGTTGGGATTTTGTAAGCAACAACTTGAAGTTAAAAATTTGGCGCCAAACGAACTGAAACTTGAAGCACCTTTTAACTAGTGGTTGGGGCCTACGGTCCGCTTTATCGTTGCGGGTTCAACTCTCATCGTTCCTTTTATTAAAACAGTAATTGATAAAAAAAAATTAATGATCTATTTAGTTCTTGAAATATATTTTTGTGTCAATCAAATTTTTGACCTATATTTTGTATCAATTTAGTCTCTGAATAATGCAATCTAATTTAATGTAGTCATTCTATCCAAATTCGTCATTAATGTTGATGAAAATCTTCACATGCACATCACGAGTTAGAGGTTAGGTTATATCTAGGGGCCACGTGTTGTGCACGTAAGAATATCCGTTAAGTTAACAGTAAATTTGAAGTTCTAGGGCTTGATTGACACAAAAAGTATTGTTCAAGAGTTAAATAAATACTTAACTAAAAAAAAAAAAAACATTAGTGATTGCATAAACTTAACACAACTCAACCGAGAAGAAGGATCATCTTCACTTTTAACAATTTGTATGTACATGATCTTTTAATGAAAATTAGGGTAAGTTACACATATTTCCCCTTCAATATTTGCTTCTTCTCTTTTTGTGGTAAATGTGGACAAGGGCAGAGTTGTCATAGTATACATTATTTTAGTTGGTGCATGTAACACACATACCATCAAATTAAAGTCACATTTGCATTTTGATCCAAGTTGAGGAAGATTTAGTGCGAATGTTTAAAGTATAGAGAGATGATGTGTAAGCACTATTAAATACAATGGGTTTTCTATAATTAACCCCTAATCCTAATAGCATCCAATGCGATGCGACTTGACATTTGGATGCATAAAATAGAGCTCGACACAAACTACATTGTTCCTATTTTCCATTCGACGGATATTCTGCAAGATTTATTATCAAATAACTCAAAAGGCTTTGTGTTTGGAAATAGTAGCTCTATGAAGATATCTAGAAAAATAGCCTTCACTTTGACATGCATGAAGAATATATAAAGGGGTGGAATATATATTGACCACCACTTCCCAACTCCAGAGGTCAAGAAGGTGGATGCTCCATGTCTTGAGAGTCCATCCCCTTGTTAATGTTCAACCCGCACATATAATTCAACTCAACTCAACAAAATCTTTATCTCAATTGTGCGGGTCAATTACATGATTTTTCTTATACATTATACTCTATCAAAGGCAAATTTCTCTTTTTTGGAAGGTATCAAGGGCAATAATTTTCGTAGATCTGTAAGTTATAATATTCTTTTCTATTTTCTTGTTCCAAGTTAATATCGGTCTATATCTACCTCTCGTCTCGCATTACTATTAATATGTATCTAATCACTTTTCTTCATTTATCGTGTCTTTTATTGGGTATTCTATGAATATGTCCAAAGATATTCGACTTGCACATGATAATCTTTACAAACAGGAAGCTGCTACCAAAATAATAAGATAATAAGACCCATGGGCATGGATTGCCAACATGTTTATTGTAAAAGGCATAGTTTTTTTTCACATAAAAGACATCTTTTTTGTGGTATTCAAGCAAATTAAGAACTTCAAATTTTTTAGTGTGCCCTCCCTCTGATCCCGCTCGTGGTTTATTATCTTTGCTCGCAGCCCACTTGAACAATAAGCAGACATATTTTTCATAAAATGAAGATCTAGCTAGACTCTAAGGACGAGACAACTCAAAATAGGTGTTAGCAACTCCAATTTTGATGATCGTATACAATTGACTAGGCCTTCGCCGCAAATGGGTGCAAACTGTCGGGTATCATGTATGACTGTCTGCTAAAACAAAACAAAGGTATGTTTAATAAGACGTTGGTTCGGTCAGTTGAGGTCACTCTTCAGGTTGCAAACTTTAGGTTAATTGTGTGTCGTGTGAGCTGCATTAGGTAAAAGTTGGTAATCAAAATTGTTATACTAAGTGGTTTTATTTGTCCATATTGCAAGGTCCTATAAGTCATACACCATGCATATATAAACCGAATAAGAACAACTATGTGGAACCCAATTAAAATTATTCAAATGTGTAAAGGAAGATCACTAACTTTATATCTCAACTTTAAGTAAAGAATTTGTGACCCTTTTGTTGCATTATTCTTTTGTACGACATGTTCATATTGGTTGCAAAGTCAACTTACAGACACTCTCCTCTTATGGTTCCATTTGGAGTTTTCAATGATACAAGAGTCCCAAACCATTGGAAAACCTCTTAGCCATTGACATGTTTTACTGTTGAAACATGGCCAAAGAACAAGCATCACTAAAACTAAACTTTTTAGCATAGTATCAGATTGATTAGTCAAGCAGTATTTGGAAGATTTAGCCAGTTCTTTGCAGAAAATATGGGTGTTTTAGCTAGGCTCTTCTGGACGTGGTCCAGACCATTACAATGTGCAGTCCCTGGCATCATGACATTATTATATGTACAATGAATCAAAAACTTTATATTATACACTTATATTAAGTCAGTCTATGGATTCCAGCACAATGGATTGCATAATAGGTAGTAGTGGTTTCCATATACGTGCTCGTGTATTGTGTGTGATCCGTTTTCTATTAGAAAAAGGTATTTAGTGTCCACTAAAGGTTGAATTCTCCATGCTAAATATTCCCAAAAGATTAAGCTACATTTTTTTGATGTCAAAATAAATGCTAACTAATGCGGCACGTATAGCAGATCAAGATCATCGAAAATAGCGTTGATTAGGCGCTAATTAGGGCAGATTGTGTACGACAATGTCAAAAATTTCAAAAGATCCAATTCCAGAAAACTCTAGGTAATCTAAGCAAGATTGAAGCCTTTAACCCGTCGTTTTTAAGCCAAAAAATAACGTTGAGTGCACTTTTCTTATTTATATGATCTTGAAAACCAATTCAACATTTTTGGTTTTGATTTAAATAAATGAATAATGCTATTGAAACTTAATTTACTAACTTAAATTTACTATGGTCTTTGGATTGATTGTGGACTCCATTAAAATTTGGTGTTAATTCAATGGTTCTAATGAAACCACATCATTAGGTCAGCAAATTAAGTTTCAATAGCATTACTCTAAATAAAAACTTAGAGATGAGTTCTCTTTTCTTTCCAATTACCTTGGTATTTTACGGAATCAAGAAGACTTTAATTTGGTATTATTACGATGATCAACAAGTTATACCTTCTATTGTTTAATCTCCTTTTTTATTCACGCTACCCCGCATCACTAACCCTATAAAATTAAGAGCGCTTACAAACTCTCTTTTGGTGGACTATGAACAGTGAGCTAAGAATTAGTCTAGTTTTGCAATGCCTGAACTTTGATTATTCTCAAGCACAACAATCCATAGAATTATTTTATGATGGTGATCACTTTGTAAGTGGGATTCGATCTGCTTTTTCTAGCGAAAATAGAGGACAATTATCTCTATATAAAGCCAATAACAGCTTCTACCATGGCATAGCAGTGAGAAAGATGAGAAGGAAAGCTCAAGAGTATTTGGTAGACTGTTCTGAGAAGTTTCCAATTGCCCTCAAAGGCTTCCAATATTCCATGATAGCAATATATTGTCACCAATATTGGAACGTTGGAGGCCTGCGAGGACCATTGAAGATTTACTCCTTTGTGCCTCCAGTAAAAAACTGATGTCTTGTGTGTTTTTGAAAATAATTTTTTTAGAATTTAAAAAATACCACCCCACGAGCAGCCTTCCACCACCCTTCCACCAACACCACCACCACCAATCTCACCCCACCACCACCACCACGACGTCCACATTTCCACTACCACCCACCCCCACCCTTCCACCAACACCACTACCGCCACATTTTTGTTTTCATTATTTTCTGTGTTACTGTTCAAATAAATTTTAATGTTTTTTTTTTTTTTGAAATCATATACCCAAATAAGTTTTGCTACACAAAAAACACTAAAAACAGTTTTCGGATACTATTTTTAAAACGCAATCCAAACATAGCCTAAATTTTTACTTTTCCTCCATTGATACAAGAGCAACAAATCGTTGGCCTAACCAGGAAGCAATGCAGGATAGGAGTGGAGATGAAGATCACAAGTTACCTGCACCAATTTGGTACAACTTTCACTATGACAGGTAATTTTGATTTGGTTTTTAAGCATGACAATTTGTAGTTTCAAATTACTTGCACGCGTATTTAATTTGATTTCACGGTATTAACATTATTTGGGTTGCTAGAAGAAACTGCAATATATTTGTTAGTGATCTTACAAACCCTTGTCCAAAATGTGGCTAGGGTATTAACAAGCCCCATGTCCAAAAAATTTCTACTCTACAGACAAAGCCAGGAATTCCTGGGGAAAGTCACTAGTATTTTCTTTGATGTATAGAGTGAAATTCTCTTTTCTTTTCTTTCTTGATGTCTGGAAACAAGTGCTTTGAATTTTTGGCAAAGACAAATTCGGGTTCATGCAATTACTCATTGAGTCAATCAGAAGATATCTTCAATACTCATAATACTTCAAACATCAATGTTTGTTACAATCAGAGCTTGAAGAATAAAATTTTTCATGAAAAACTTATATCATCTTTGTGGAAGTGATATTCAGGTATGATCTTAATCATTTAAATTAGTCTAACGGGTAGAGTTGTCTTCGTATTTCCACGAAAAAAAAGTGGAAAAGTATTGGACCCCCTATTTGTCATAATCTCAATGTCCTATGTCCTAACCCCACATTAATTTATGCTAGATACCACAGAGTATGAAAAAATTGGTGACTGTTGTGGTCATAGAACCACAGGCATAGCCAACTTTGATGTCCTAGTCCAGAAACTAAGACTTCAATTAGCCAGGATTACCAGGAAATATAGTATCTGTTTCTCGGAAGTTTACTTCTGTCAACATATCAGGCCAGAAAACTCCAAACCTAATAGAAAAAGAAAAAACATCTATCTAGGCGACCTTAA